CTATTCACCTGCCTGGCCTTGTATTTCATTCATCTCACAAACATTTCTTTACCCTACTATGCTCAGGGTAAAGTGATCTGGGGGCACAACATTTAAGTGCCTGGCTGCTAACCGAAAGGTGGTCGGTTCAAAACCACCAGCCACTCTGTGGGAGAAAAGATCTGGTGATCTGCTCCCATAAAGATTAAACCAAAAGACCAAACCCATTGCTGTTGAGTCGATTCTGCCTCATAGTGACCCATAAAGATTACAGCCTAGAAAATCCTATGGGGCAGTTCTACTCTGTCACATGAGGTCACTATAAGCCAAGATCAATTTGACGGCACCTAACAACAACAACGTTCAGGACGCTGTGGAGAAAACATGATGAATCAGACAGAGTTCTAGTAGGGAAGCAGGGAGTACACACAGTCTAGTAGGGAATCTAGAAGTGCACACAGTCCAGCAGGAAAGCAGGAAGTGCATGCAGTCCAGAAGGGAATCAAGAAGTGTATGCAGTCCAGTAGGGAATCTAAATGTGCACACAGTCCAGTAGGGAATCTAAATGTGCACACAGTCCAGGGGGAATTTAGAAGTGCACACACAATCCAGAGGGAATCTAGAAGTGCACACAGTACAGTAAGTAGGGAAGCAAGAAGCATACACATCCCAGTAGGGAATCTAGACATGCACACAGTCCAGAGGGAATCTAGAAATGCACACAGTACAGTAAGTGGGGAAGCAGGAAGCATACACAGCCCACTAGGGAATTTAGACGTGCGCACAGTCCAGAGGGAATCTAGAAGTGCACAAAATCCAATAGGGAAGCAGGAAATGCACACACATCATCCCCATGGTGGTGAATGCCCCCATGGCAGCCTATACTAAGCATTAAGGGCAGGTGGAGCAGTGCAATGACATCCAGGGAAAGGCTAGGACGGGGCAGGACTTAAACAGGCGAGGTGGAAGTGAGAGATGGGAAAGAGGAGACAGTCCCAGTGTGGGCCCAGCAGCAGCCACTGCAGAGGCAGCCAGGTGAGGGGCAGCCCTGGGGACAAGGACGTGATTCTGTTTGGTTGAGGTATGTGGCTCAGGTGTGGGTGCAGAGTAAAGCGGGGATTGAAGGGAGGCTGAGGCTAGGTCTTAGGGCCCCTGCTGTCAGGTCTCAGTGAATCATATCATCCTATCAGCATCTTCCCCCACCCTCTCTTCCCCAGACCCATCAATAAAAGAGGCAACTATTCAGTGGGGATCCTCCCTCGTCCCCCTCATTTTGAGTATAAGCACACATGAAAGCGTGTAAGCCAGCCGCTTCATGCCTTTATCTCCCCCTATGTTAGACAGCCAATGTTAAAACTGACCATCTCTATCAAACCAGTACTCTGGGGAGACAAGCATGTTCCTTGATTTAAAGAATCTTCTGTTCTGGTTGGAACTTTGAGAATCTGCACCCATAAACAAAATCCAGTCCAGAGCAAGCCATCAAATTGCAGCCATTGACACCAGCTCACAGTGTGAAACATCTTTCTCTTCATTCAGTAGGGTTCTGGTCAGCTCATCCATAGCCATCCATGCTAGGTCAATTGGTACCAGCTGTAGACTCAGAAGTCCACACACTTCAGACCAGCCAGCCCCTTCTCTCTCATCCCTAGCTCCGGTGGGCTAGGTCAATGGGCACCATAGTTGTGTGACTCAGGAGTCCACACAACTCCCTAAACTTTAGACCAGCCAGCCCTCTCTCTCATTCCTAGCCTCCAAGGGCTAGGTCAATGGCTGCCAATGGAACATGTCCAAACTCAGCCATCTCTTCACTGCTGCACTTCCCCCACTTCCACTCATCGAGTGGACGCAGGTGGTCACCACAAATGAGCATACCAGGCTGTCTACTCGCCGGGTCCCTGTAACTTCCAGCCCTGAAAGGGGGTTCTTCTGATGAGCACTGACTTTTCCTACCTCAATGCATCCAAAGGCAATCTGCTTGCTTGAAATTCAAAAAGCAAAACAGTCATTTTTTTTTTTCCTGCTGGTCCTTCCCTCAAATGCAAATTTATTCCTCTCCCAGCAGTTCTGGGTAGATCTGCATGTCTTTTCAAATGCAAATTTTCTGACTCTGAAGGTTTTGGTTGGAACTCAGGTTTTCTACCAGTTGTTAGGAGCCATCGAGTTGGTTCCGACTCATAGCAACACTATACACAACAGAACGAAACACTGCCGGGTCCTGCCCAGTCCTCACAATGCTTGTTATGCTTGATCCCATTGTTGCAGCCACTGTATCAGTCTATCTTGTTGAGGGTCTTCCTCTCTTTCACTGACCTTCTACTTTACCAAGCGTGATGTCCTTCCTCAGGGACTGGTCCCTCCTGATAACATGACCAAAGTATGTGAGATGAAGTCTCGCCATGCTTGCCTCTAAGGAGCACACTGGCTGTACTTCTTCAAAGACAGATTTGTTCATTCTTTTGACAATCCATGGTATATTCAATATTCTTCACCAACACCATAATTCAAAGGCGTCAATTCTCCTTCGGTCTTCCCTATTCATTGTCCAGCTTTCACATGCATAGCAGGCTATTGAAAACACCATGGCTTGGGTCAGGCACACCTTAGTCCTTAGGTTTTCTACCTAAGCCCACAACATTCTATACACAGGGCTACCGGATTCAAACAAACAGCCTGTGTTTCCTTTAGGCAAATCCTAGTTCTCCTCTTAGCATATCCAATCAAGTACTGGATGAAGGCAGAGTTAACATGCTCTCTGTAATCTATAATACCTAATATTCGTTTCCATCATACACGTAGGCCTGCTTTACAGTGCTAGCTAGGAGAAATATTCAATATCCACAGTACATTCAAATAAACATATAACCCTCTTTAAAACATTCCAGTTTCATCTTCTCCACACCTTGCCTTTCTTCCCATTCATATGCATATGGCCTTAGGCCTCTGGCTAGGTGGAACCAGAAGACCCTGGCCCCCCTAACAATCATCTTGTTTAACCGGCCTGGGGCAAAAGGCCCCAAACCACTCCAGATGTGAGTTTTTTCCCCTCAGCTGCAGCAGAACATCTCTTACTTTCCTTTCAGCATTGTAAGTAACAACAACCAAAGTCACCATCCAGGAATCAAAAGTGCCACATCCCACGCCCCTTCCTCTTACAAAGCCCCAGGCTTCCCTGAGTCTGGAGTCATGCAATGAATCCTGCTAACACCAAATGTAAAAATGGCCTGGCAGGGGCATCTGACCTCCTCTAACTTCACAAGGGAGAAGAATCATTATCAGCATCAACAGCCCAAGGCTGATTGCTATGAGGCAGAGGTCAGACATGTCTCTACCCTCCAACCTTTTTACCAGTTTTGACACCATCTGTCCCTCTCACAAATGCTCTACTTCTCTGCTGGATTCGATAATTCTTGCAATGGCCACGCAGAACTCACAGACCATACTCACAGTTATGGGGTTTATTAGGGAAGAAACAGGTTACAACTCAGGATCAGGAAGGACTCAGGATACAGTTCTTCAATCAGGACAGCCGCTTCTCGGCCATGCTCGCAGGCAGGCCTCTCTCTGGCCCTCAGTCTCTCGGCCCAGCCTTTGCCCTGCTTGGCCAAGTGTTGCAAAGCTCTTTAGCTCCACTAATAAGTGCTCAGAGGCACCCCACTCCACCAGGAAGCCTCCTGTCTGAAGGCACTCAGCTTTCTCGCTCCATAGGCTGGGAAGCGCACCGCACCGCCTCCTGCCAGTCTCCTGATCCTCTGCCTCTGCTACCGCCGTTTCTCTGCCACTGCTTCTCACTGTCTCCTCGTCTTTGGTGTTACAGCTCTCTCTCTCTGCTTCTGGGGTCTAGGAGGATCTCAGCACGATGATCATGGGTCCAAAGGACGTACTCTGCTCCTGTCCCTTCTTGGTGGTAGTCAGGTCCCCCTCTGCTCTGGGACCAACTCTCTTTCAAGCCTAGCGGGATGGCAAAACTGACCAATCCCCTCATTAGGGTTCTATATACCTTATTTGCATAGTCCCTCCCCTACAAGGGTGCCATGCAACTTATTTACATTATTAGCAAGCTATCCAATCCCCTTGGTGGGCTACAAGCACCTCATTTGCATAGTTCCACCCAGTTATTTGATAGGAGTTACAAAGACTATGGCTAGAAGGGCCATATTAAGTACTTTGCTGCACTGCAATGGCCCAACATAGGACTCACACACTTCACATAGGTGGTCAGTGGAGGATGGCGTTACAGGGATGGGAACATACAGTGCCATCAAATAGGGGAAAAAGGATTAACCTCGCATAAGAAAGGTTCTAGCTGCTCTCCTAACAGCTTCCCAATCAAGAAAAGAAATATGGAAGGCAATATACAAATTCTGAAAATCTAGTGGAATAAGTAATTTCTTTAAAATCTTAATTCACCTACTCATGCTGAGCTGACTTAAAATATGTAAAATTTTCAAACCAGAGAACCAAGCAGAAAGCTGAATAAGCGTAAGAGGAAGGAAGAGATTAATGAAATAACCAAAGGGCCTGGAAGCCCATGCCTAAGGAATCACGCCCTCATTACCACGTCTAGGGTGAGCCTCTGGTTTGGGGCTGGATAGGTCTAATCACATTGTCCAATTGTTCTCTTAGGTCTATGGACAATGGGGCCACCAAGAGACCCCCAGGTAGCTTGACCTAGGGGTGAAAGTCTGACGTGAATGATGTTTCCTTGGAGTTGTATTTTTCAAAAACACAAAGGGACATAAGCCATACAGACAAGAATAAGCAAAGCTCTAGTGAGTCGCCAAGACCTGCCATTAGAGGGTGCTGTGCTGGGCTGTTAGCAGGGTCTTGGCTTCAAGGCACAGCTGGGTTCAAGTCTCAGGTTGTTCTAAAGGCAACCTTAGTTAGCTTCCAGTCTACTGGGAGACAGCGGCCGAGAGCACAGTTACCTGGGTTAGGAGTTTCTCTCCTGGCCTTTTGCTCCCTAAGGACAGTGTTCTCCAGGGCAGGCTGGGGTTCCAGCTGGCCACCGAGTTGCTTACCCTCTGTGGGTGAACTGAACTTGGACTCGTTGACGAAAGTGGACAGATCTGAGGGCTGGGGGTAGTCCTGCTTATCGGCCTCCAGGTCAACCGTCATGCACGCCCACTTCTGGCTGGTGACTGCCAGCTTTTCCTCATCGGTTGCGTGGACCACTGCCGAGATCACTGGTGGGCTTTCTGGGGTCACCGCTGGAGTGGGGTCCTGCAAGGAAAAGGGAAGCAGTCTCTCCTTTCATTCGTCTCCCCATCAGAAACCCACCCACCCCAGAGTCCAGGGCCCATTAGCCTGGAGAAGTCCCGGTCAATATTTGTTCATCTTCTTCTCAACCTCTGCTCCCAATGGTCCCTCAAGGAAACAAAGTCTTTGCTCTATGAATTCCCTTTTCTGATGGTTTGTTTCGGGGTGACCGTGGGTGTAAAAGAAAATCAGGGTTTTGGGTCACAATTATTTGAGATATTCCTCTCATTCCCTTTAAGAAAGATAAGGAAATGCTTACTACGGGTCCTTTACTACCACCGCTACTGTGTTCTGCTCTACTGCACTTCAGGGCTTGCGTGTCAATACCATTCGTATCACCGGACAGTCCTCCACCTGGCCTTGGAGGGGAAGAAAGGTGCTCTTATCTGTATTTCCCCAGGAGGGTGTGGAGCTGAGGAAGGCAGAGTGGGAGCCCAGAAGTAAGAAGGTAGAAGTGTGACTGGGACTCAAACCCCCTACTCCCAGCATAGGGCTCCTCTCTCCGCAGCCCCCGCCCTGGCCAGGCTATGCTGGCTGGGTTCTGTGGCTGAGTGGGGGAAGGGGGTTTGCTTGTTTTATGACCCACAAATAGCCCTGAACGCCCAGGATGACCTTCCTTGGTCTGTAAACAGGGCAGAAGAAATGGCATACATTTGGTAGAGAAACTAGCAAGAGGGAGACAGGGCTCACATATTAAAAAAGAGCCCCAGCTCCTACTTCTTTAGGGGACAGGTCACTGCTCCTCCCCACGTGGATTTTGGTTGCGCACATTCAGCCCTAGCTCTGCTCACACGTTTATTTCTTTCATTTTCTCACCACGGGTTTATCTGCCTCAATACACTTTCTCAACTTGATGTCCGTGTAAGTTCTCAGTAGATAAACTGGCCAGAAGGGACCAGAACGGTTCCTGTAACATCCAACCAGCATTTTTCCTGACCTTCTTCCTACTCTCGGGACACACTCTGCTCTACCCAAAGCGAAGGGACCAGAACAATGTCCTACAAAAGCAGAGGAAACCCGCATGGAAGGGGCAAGAAGAGGGTCTCGGAAATGTGCCTGTGACTCACAGAAAGGAAAGCTTGGCTTGCTAGTGGGCATCAAGACTCAGCCGTGTTAACCTCAGATTTCTCCCCCAGTACGCAATAAAATCATAAAGATCAAAGGAATATGATACCTGAGAAGGCGGATCAGAGAGAGGAGACCGTTTTGGCGACTTTTTCACCCTAAATGTGTCACTGGAAACAAAATTGAAAATGTAAACACAACAAACAGAGATACAGAAAACTCTACCGCAATACAGAGCCGCAGCTGCCGCTGGACCATCCGACTCAGACCACCCTCTGGTCTGCGCCATCTCAGCACCAACAGAAAGACGTCCTCGCCCACGAGGAAGTCTGACTTGCTAACAGATATTATTTTTGCCCCCAAGGGAAAGATGAATCAAGCTGGAAACCTTTAAAGGGATGCCATTTTGGAGAACTGACCCAGAAAATGAATCTAAATTTAACCAGATGTTCTTACTTGAAAAAGCAAATCTTTAGTGAGTGGATTAATCTATCTGGATTCGTCAAGGAATGTCTGAACCAACTCAAGTTAAGGGTGTGGGGCAGGGGGAACTAGGCTCATGACACCAATTTGCAATATCCAATTTACAGATGGAAAACAGACAAGCAGTTAACGAACTGCACTGAGGAGCCCTTGTAGAAATGGAAAGTTCTAAGTCTTTAGGGGAATTCGCAGAATCCTTCTTACACGTAGGAACTCTGAGCTTAATAGCTCCCTGTACCTCTAAGCTTCCAAGTGGAATTCTGACCAAAGGCAAGGCCAAGGCCAAGGTCATTTTTTAATGTCTTTTCTCAACCAGGGTCAACAGACAAGTTTTAGGACTACTCTTTCCCTTTCTTTCTCTTTCATATAAACAGTTGGGGTGGGGAGGGGGGTGCAGGCAAAGGAGACATGGGATCAGCCTCCTGAAGGGATCATGGAGGAGGGGGCGGCAGATCCCAGAAGGAAGGGACAACTTGCAGTATAGTTTGAGTACATCCACTGGGGAGTCAGGGAGTCATTTCCACAGGCAGAATGGAAGCCTCTTCCACCACGCAGACTGGCCGCTGCCCCCAGACTCTGCCCCTCCGCGGTACAGTCCTATCCCCAGCAAGCAAGGGCTTTGGGGGTGGGGAGTCCCTCACCTTAGCCCTTACTACCCTCCTCCCTGCTTTACACATTAACTGGACGGCAGAGCAATGTGACCCTCAAATCCTTCCTGTGTTCTCGCCAGTAAGATGCTCCAACAATGGCATTTCATCACGAAAAAAATACTGGAAATGGTTACTTACAGCACTATGGCATTGGCCATAAAAGCAGTGAAACACAGCTTGAAGCATGTATTTATTCATGCATATAAATATGTAACTGTACATTTATAGTTGCTAAATGTCTCTAAAATGTTTAAAAAAAAAAAAAAATCCATTGGGCAGAAGCAAGCCAGAGAGACTCAACCCTACCCTGAGCTTGCCGGACACCTGGGACCAGGCCAGCTTCCCTGGTAAGGATGGGGAAGGGGCAGAGAAGATGCAAGGCCCAAGGCCCTGGGCGCTGCCCACGAGACCACTCCTGGCCAGGGGAGGCACAGAGCTCTGTCTCCACTGATGCCCACGAGCGACATACAGATGGCAATGAGGCATGCTGACACCCAGCCTGGCTCTGGGGACAAGGATGCAGGCTCAGGGCAGACTGGTGAGGGCTCCAATAGCCGTGGGCTCCACTTCAACAGCGCACTCCATGCTGAAGGGACTCTGCATTCCAGGGCACTTGTGTAGCAGGTCGCAATGTGGAACGGCCCAAACATTCCAGCTTCACACATTAACAAGAAGCCACAGCAGTCGCTGTCTGTGGTTGGACTGGATGGTACTTTTAATGTGAAGCCACGGTGCTATTGAAAGCAGTCGCCTGCTAGTCTAATTTACAATGAAAGGATGGAATGAGCAGTTAAAAAAAAACATATATAAATATATATATATGGGTTTCAGATGAAGACATTCAATATGCAAGGAAAAAAATGTTCCATTCCTGACAAGCAGACAGATGTTGGATAATCATGTTTTCACAGCCAAGCAGTTTCACTTATGCTAATCACTACAGAACGGAGAAGTCATCTCTGCTACCATGAAGCCCCATGCCCCTAACTCCCAGACCTGCCACAGAAGTATGTAAGGAGCAGCCACGGAGAGTAAATGAAAAGCTTGGGAGTGACAGTAAAAGGCAGGAAAAAGCACATTTGGCATAAAAGGCAGATTCCATTAAATATTTACTTACAACAGAGAACACACAGACATCACATCTTCAACCATCCTAAGACAAGAAGACAAAGACAAAGAGAGACAGACAGAAGGAACTGACAAAAAAGATAAATCTGCAGACAACTGGTTATTAACGGGTTAGGATACAACAGCTGTCCACTGTGGATTCCCCGGGGGAGTGTGGCCAACCGCCCAGCTTGGGGAAAGGAGCTGTCTGCGAAGGCCTGCCTCTCTCTGCTCCAATCACCCCACAAAGCACCGGGGCCCAAGGAGCTTTGTCACCCAGTGTAGGATCTTCCCAGCCAAGAACCCCGTCTGCACTTGGATTCGCCTCCCTGACCTTTGTTAGCTCAATGGCAAAATGCAAACATGGCTCGGGACAGAATACAACCATGCTGTCTGTGGACGGGAGTGGGTGGGGAGTAGAGTTGGTTTTCATTTTAAAAATCCTGTCGTCGCTAGGTGCCCTCGAGTCGATTCCGCCTCACAGCAACCCCATGTGACAGAGCGGAAATGCTCCATAGGGTCTTCGAGGCTGTAATCTTTATGGGGGTAGATCACCAGGTCTTACCCCCACAGAGCCGCTGGGTGGGTTAGGACCGCCAACCTTCTGGTTAGCAGCTGAGCTCTTAACCAGGTGCCACCAAGGCTCCTTTAAAATGATGGCAAATGGCTTTGCAGGCTGGGCACTTGAGACTTCTAACTGAGGCTTAAAATGAAGCTTCCAGCACAGAGTCTAGGAAGTCTCTAAGAAGGGCCCGGTTGGGGAGGTGACCTAGAAGAAGTCCACCTTTTCTGCCAGGACTGCCTCCCTCCCAACACCAGCCAGCAGCCAAAGCCTGCTGCTCTTTTAAGGAAGAGCCCATTCTTCTCAATGTTAAATGCTTCGGGCAGCCCAGAATGGGAGAGAACAGGTCACCCTACTCGTGCCAGGCAGACGCAGGGGGCCGGCAGCCGGGGTCGGCCCTGTCAGCTACCCACTAGGAGACTGGTCTCCATGGCCTTGTGAACTTACTGACCATCTTTTGCATGACAACAAGGAGGAGGTCTCTGAGCTTGGTCCAGAGGCCTACGAACGGACCTGCAGCCCTCCAAGTTCGAGCAGCATCTTGGAATGGGTTCTGGAAGCACGGACACACGTATTGTTTAAGGGCAAGCTAGCTGGCAAGTAACATCTGTGGGCAACAGCCGCATTTATAACTACGACCTCTCCTGGAGACTATCCCATCGCTTCCCCCGTTCAGGTTCCGCTGCTCTCTTCTAAACCTATAGGGCTTTGGATCCTGGTCTGCAAAAGATAGCTAGAAAGGGGATGGAGCCAAAGAGAGGTGTTTCTTATGGGCTGGTTGGGGTGCCTGGCCCAGACCCCTCACTCATGGGCCTCTTGGAACCTAGTGTTTTTGACTCCTGGGCTAACATCTCGTTAACAGGCAGAGGCAAATACCATAAAACGTAACAATATTTTAAAGGGCGGATCTCAGAGTTCTAGGCCACCCCAAAAAGCAATTCACGTGTCAAACAGGGAAAAGGGTTAAGCCGCCAACAGGGAGGTTGACCAGGTCTTGAACAGACTGTTCTCTTTCTATGGCATCTCCCAGACTCCCCTGGAGTTGAATGTCAGGTCTCTGGTCAAAAGTAAAGCTTTGGACCACTGACTCACTAAGGCCAACGATCAAGGACTCTAGACTACAAAGGGGCATGTTGACAGGAAACACCACCACTGTCACACACAGAGGAAGACAGCTACGCCGGCTGCCTAGTGAAACAGCCACAAACGGGGGCGTGACAGCGAAAGGGGAGAGGTGAGGGCAGCGGAAGCTTATCCAGGCACATGACCATGAATCACAGCCAACACACACCCGCCTCCGATCCTTACCAACTCCACCCCTGAACTTACGTCTTGAGAGGCGTCTTCTTCTTCTTGGCGGGCTTGTTGAGCCCGTCCCCGTCCACTCCATTGGCGTCCATGGCACTGGCTGGGATCTCAAAGGAGGCTGGGGACTTAGAAGGCGAGCTAGGGGTCTTGGAGGACGTCTTAAAGGGGTCAATGGACTCGTCACAGGTGTTGGGGTCAAAGCTGTATGATTGCTGGGGCAGGGTGGGAGACTCCTGAATTTTTGAGGTGGAAGAAAAAGGGTTAAAATTGGGGTCATCCCACTTGTCAATATCAAAGGTGTAGGTACCTTTAGCAATGGGTATGTCATTGGGCTCAACGGGGGACCTGGTAGGTGAGGCAGGAGTGTTGTCGAGTTTCTCGGGTGTTTTTTTCATCTTTGGCCTCCTTAGGGGCATTTTGGCAACTGGCTTTTTGCCTATCTTTTTGGTAGGAGGGGGGGTTTCCTGCTCGTTGTCCCAACTACCCTTGTCCTCAGAATAGTCAAACTCCAGCCTCACTGAGAGCCCTCTGGCTGGGGAGTCCTCTTGCCCCCCACTGTCTGACGGGGTCACCTCCACGGCCTCCGGGACCGTGGCAGGAGGCAACGTTTTCCTTCCAACCGGGGGTGAGTTCTGCACTCGTCCACCTCCAGAAGCTTGGGGGACGGCCCCCTCTGCACGTTCTGAGTCCAGGGGGCAGGCAGCTTTGGGCACAGCAGCAGGTTCTAGGGGTGTCTCCTCCGATAAGGCTGTTCCAGAACCTTCTGCCTTGGCTGGCTCCGTGTTTGTCTCGGATGCTGGACTCCCCTCCCTGGGGGCAAGACTCTCTTCGGCTGGCTCCTGCTGTGTCTCCTTCACTGGAGGGGTTTCTGTGGATTTCTTAGCGCTCTGTTTCTTTTTTAAGGAAGGCGGCCTCGGTTTTTTAGTTCTTTTAAGGGTACTGGAGGCACTGCTCGAGCCCGTGCTGTGTGCATCTGGGGCGACAGTCGCCGCCTCGGGACTGCCTGAGCAGGAAGCACCATCAAAGTCGCCAGCTTGCAGGCTGAGTGAGCGGGACAACGTCGACTTGGAGATGGGGACGGAGTCTGTGGACTTCCTCCGTGCACTCACTCTGCATTCCTGATCCTTGGAGTCTGAGCAGCGAGGCTCCAGGGTCTGGAAATTGTCCACCAGTTCGATGTTGTCAAAGTCTAAGTTGTACGTGCCGCTGCTGGCGATTGGCTTGTCTTCATCAAAGACGGCAGAGAAGGAGTGTGATGGGGGACGGAAAGGGTGTCCTTCCACCGGCTCGCTGCGAGGGCCATCGGAGATGGGGACCGTCTCAGAGCCACATCCTGAGGAAATGGAGACAATGCAGTCACTATGGACCCAGGATGCTTTGGGGCATTTCTCATCTTCTGCCAGATCACTACCCTCTAGAGCAGAGGGTGACAACCTGGGCCCCCGGGCCAACCTGCTCACCACTGGGCACAGTGCTTTGGCACCCAGCCTGGTCCCTCTCACTATTAGCTCCAGACCCTGGACAGGTTTACCCTCAGCTCCCTCATCTGCAAAATGGGAGTGAGAAGGCTGTGTAAGGACTAGCTCAGATCATTCAACAAACATTTACCAAGTGCCTAACCAGGACCAGGCACTGTCCTAGGTGCTGGGGATTCAGCAATGAACAAAACCCGCAGAATCCTTGCCCTCTTGGAAGTTACATTCTTCATGGGGAAGACAGTCAAGAAGTAAGTCAGTAAAATGTAGACTGTCAGATGGTGAGAAGTGCTATGCAGGAAAATAAAGCTGAGGCAGAAGAGTTGCAATTTTAAAATCAGGTAGTTGAGAAAGGCCTCCAAGGAGGAGATGCCTGAGCAAAGACCAGAAGGGGAAGGAAGGCATGAGCCAGGAGGGCATCTAGGAGGAAGAAGCATCCTAGGACCAGCAAGTGCAAAGTCCTGGGGCAGGAGCATGCCTGGCGTTTCCGAGGAGCAGCAAAGAGGGCCAGTGTGGCTAAAGCAAGGGGTAGGGGCTGGAGAGGGAGACAGAGAGATAGCACCAGGAAGTGCCTGACCCACAGTATGCCCTTAATAAGTATTAGGTACTGTCATCAAGGTCCCTGGGTGGTGCCAGTGCTTTGCAATCGGCTAACCAAAAGGTTGGCCATTCAAACCCACCCAGTGGCTATGCGGGAAAAAGGCCTGGCAAACTGCTCCCATAAAGATTATAGCCAAAGAAACCTATGGCGCACCCTCTGTAATACGTGAGGTTGCCATCAGTCAGAATCTACTCGATGGCAGGGGAGTTGTTTTTTTTGGTTTACTGTCATCAGCAAGGAGCCCTGGTGGCGCAGTGGTTAAGAGCTCAGGCTGCTAACCAAAAGGTTGGCAGTTTGACTCCACCAGCTGCTCCTTGGAAATCCTATGGGGCAGTTCTACTCTGTCCTCTAGGGGCACTATGAGTCGGAATCAACTTCACAGCAAGGGGTCATCATCAAACCTCTTCTGGAGGACTCAGACATCGAGGGGCAAAGGGAAGCCTTAATGTGAAGGCCCCCAGGGCAGCTGCAGCAGGAGGGCTGGGCGCCCCCAGTCGGCCACCTCCATGTGTCTAGTCCCCGCCTCTGCTCCAGTCATCAGCTGTAATGACTCCCTCCCATTCCACCTGCTGTGCTTCTGCTCTTGGCTGTTCCTCTCTGTCCATTCTTGCTTCTCTTTCTGCCTCTTCCTCCCAGCCTCCCCACCTCCTCAGCCACCGTCAGCCAAGACGGCTGCTCCTTATTTTCCAGTCTGCTGCTTCGAATGTAGGCCAAATGATGCTCAGTGACCTCCCGACCCCACTGCTCTGCTGGAAGCCTCCCCCCCGCAAGCTCTGACTTGGCTACTTGGGACTCTGCTTACACCAGGTGGTTCCTTTCATGCATTTCTGGGCTCACAGCTGCTCTAGGCAGTCAAGGATGCCAGGGAAATAATTCTCCAGAAAACTAAAAACACATCCCTAGTCAAAGAAGGCGACCGCTGTAAACTGGCCTGTAGGTCTGAAAACTGGAAGATGCAGAACATGGGATAAAAGAAGTTGGCACACACACAACCTGGGACAGGACTCCCCAAGTGTGCATCACTGACAGGTGTTACACCCCGACCCCACCCTGCACAGCTGCCAGGTGAATACAGGGAGCTTAGTTAAATTTGAATTTCAGATCAGTGAATAGTCTAAGTATGTCCTGCGTCGCAATGAGGAGCCCTTGTGGCACAGTGGCTAAGCACTTGGCTGCTAACCAAAAGGTTGGTGGTTCGAACCCACCAGCCACTCCGGAGGAGAAAGATGTGGCAGCCTGCTCCTGTAAAGACGACAGCCTTGGAAAGCCTATGGGGCAGTTCTACCCTGTCCTGCAGGGTCGCTATGAGTCGGAATCAACTCGACGTCGCCGAGCTTGGGATTTTTACGTTGTGATTATTCACTGTTTATCTGAAATTCACATTTAACCGGTGCCTTGTGTTTTTGTTTTTAATTGTGGTTAAAAATTAAATAACAAGATATTTGCCATTTCACCGTTTTTTACATGTACAATTCAGTGACATTAATTATGTTGGTCATACTGTGCAACCACCATTATACATATTCTAATGTGCAGAATCTGGCACCCCATCCCCTGTCTCAACAAACAAAAAAGGTTTGGGAAATACTCAATTAAACCCAAGCTGGTTTTGTACTGCAGAATTTCTCAGAGCAACTGACACTCACTAGTGTGAACCTAGGAGCCACGGTGGCTCCGTGGTTAAGCACTCAGCTGCTGACCAAAAGGTTGGTGGTTCAAACCCACCAGCCGCTCCATGGGAGAAAGATGTGGCAGTCTGCTTCCACAAAGATTTATAGCCTAGGAAACCCTATGGGGCAGTTCTACTCTGTCCTACAGGGTCGCCGCTATGAGTCGGGATCAAGTGGATGGCAATGGAAGCGTGCACCTCCTGGTAGTCAGTATGTAGAGCTGTGCTTACCAAACTCGGCTCACCAAGCAAACCGGTCTCTTGGCGTATTTTGCAGAGCAGCCCAGTTAAAAACCGCTGAGCTGGGAGACGACAACACGAGGAGACTTCAAGCCTCCCGAGTTCAGGCACGTGTCTTATTTACCTGTTTCCCCCTCAACCTGTCGTACTTTTTCCTGCGGGCTCCATAAACACCTCTTGAGTTAAGAGCATGTTCCAGAAGCACTTCCATTAGCCAGTGATGGTTTTAAACCTTTGCCTCTCTCCCCTACCCCAATCCCACCAGCCCTGACTTGGAGCAGACAGCCTACAAGATGGAGCATCTGTCTGAAGGCTCTCGGCTCTGCTTCCTTCCCCAGTGATTTCCTCCATTGTCTCCCAAACACCCCTGCTTCCCTCCCATCTCAAAAGAAGAGCTAACCCCCTTCTTTCTAAAATCAACTCCTCCTGGTTCCTCCAGGACCTGGTACCATCAGGCACCCCATCCTCCTAGAAGCAGGAACCTTGTCTTCCTACCTTGTAATTATCCCCTGGACACAGGGTATGGAGGGCACGGGGGACCATGGACACTGATGAGGACCAGGGGCTTTCAAAGGGGCCCTGGAGGAAGAAGAGCAAGCCTCTGGCCCACTCACTCCTTCATTTATGAAGCAAGGCCCCCAACTAACTGCTGGCTTCTCTCTCAGGCCGCCACACGCACCTCAGCAGCCTGAGGAAGGAAGCCTTCAAAGTCCTTCGAATGTCAGTAGTTCTCCCCAAATCACGCGACAATCAGCAGACATTCAGAGTAACCATCTGCTCCTCGTTTTTGCTAGAAGAAAAAGCTCCCTGCCTGCTTAACTCTGCTTTCCTGTTCAGCAGTGACATTCTCTAATTACACCATCATGGACCAGGAAACTCAGTATTAAGGCAGGGCTTCTTAATCTCAGAACTGTGGACATTTCGGGACAGTTGGTTCTTTGTTGTGGGGGGCTGTCTTGTCCACTGAAGGATGTTTAGTGGCATCCCTGGTCTCTCCCGGCTAGATTCCAGTGGTAACCCCACCTTCCCAGTTGTGACAACCACACATATGTCCAGGCACTGCCAAGTGTCTCCTGCCCAGACGGGAACAGCTTGGGGGGTATCCATATGTCCAGCAGCTATCCTTCACCAGCTACAGCCCCTGGGCGGGAACGATGAGGCTAGCCCTGGCCAGTGGGCGTGGAAGAAGTAGCCCAGAGTCAACAGAAAGGCTGGGCTCGTCTCTGAGCAGGCGACGGGGGCAGCACGGGGCAGAGCAAGGGCTGTCAGAAGTGTGGTTATGATGGGATGCATCGAAGCCATGCACTGATAGATCCCAGGTCATCCACCACTGGGCGTCACCTCCTGGTGATGTGGCCTGGCCCCTCCCTAGACCTCACGGTCAAGCAAGGGGGCAGCTCGGCCAAGGAGAGCCCGAGCATTTGTGGTAGCCTCAACCCTCAATGTGCTTTGCGATCCCAGGTGGATAATTTGTCCTTCTGAGCCTCAGTGGCTCGTCTGTAACATGGACATTCTTGGGGGCTGAAGTGAGATGTCATGTGAAAGCATATACCCCAGGGCACAGCAGGGCCAGCAGATGGGAGCCACAGCCCCTCAACCCCTGCTCGTGCCCCCAGGACACCAAGGTGCCTCTACCCCTGACCGGGCTGTGAAGAGCCCTCGCCTCCCGGCTCTGGGCTGCCCTGGCCCATCCATGAGTTCTGACAACATGGTCACTGTAACAACAGTCAAGCATTCCATTCACACAGTCATGGAAGGCTGGAGTGGAAGAGACCTCAGAGATTCGCAGGCCAGCCTCTTTGTTTTACAGGTAAGAGAACTGGGCTCAGATAAGCTGAATCTCCTTCCTTCCCCCATGCCCCACCCAGGAACGAGGGGCCATCCTCCCATCCAATGGAGTGCAAACATGCTGGGAGAGCCTATGGCACGATGACGTATGGTTCTGCAAGACGTAGGTTTCCGGAAGGACAAACCAGTCTGCATTTGCAGCCAAAGGTCTTGCTGATTACTCATGCGGTTCTTCCAGCACCTTTAGGAACGTCAGGTACTTTGCAGAAGAAAACCGAACAACGGCCCCTCCTCTCTTGCCCTTCCCTCCCACGGCTCTCAGCACGGACCTTCCCTGTCCTCTAGCCATCTATGCAGGCACAGCCTCCTCCTCACGCAGCGATGGCCCATGCTCCTCGGTAGAATGGACGAGGGAGGTTGCTTCTAGAAGGCAGTTTTCTAATAAGACAGCAAACAGATCTTTGTACAGCCCAGGCCGGGGGCTTTAAGCAGACACAGTTCCAACCTTATTGCATAAACCTCATCAATTTACACTCACTGTAGTTTTCAAAGGAGGAGAAGCGTAGAGTCCCTGTTCAAAGGCTCCAACCGTGTAAGCAAAGGTTCCCAGGGACTGGGACTCAGTGGCAATTAAAGTTTCCAGGCCCTTTCCTGGGCCCTCTAGATACAGTTGTGGTTTAGAAATCACTACCCAGGAAGAGATGGGTGCCGTGTGTGTGTGTGTGTGTGTGTGTATGTGTGCATGCGTGTATATGCATATTTGTGTGTGTGTGTAAGAAAAGAGACTGTTCTTTGCTCTCCTGAAGAGGAAGCCAGGCAGAAGGAAGAAAGCAAGACCAAAGAAGAGAACAGAAGTGGCAGGCATTGCCTAGAAGCCATTGGGTGGCTGTCCTCCTCCACACAGGCCCCAGGAGGACTCCCTGGAATGCCCCCTAGGCTCACAACCACACGGCTGTGCCCAGGGCCTCCCCCAGGGAACTCCCGACACTTGGTTACCTGGCTCTTCCGGGGGTGTCTGGGCGCTGACCTCTGGTTCCGGGACGACTTCAGGGGGAGGGGGAGGTGGGGCTGGGGGAGCTTTGACAGGCGTTGTTGACTCCGGAGTCTCGAATGCTTCTTCAGAGTCAGAACTCCTGATGGAGAGGGAGGGAGAGAGCCGAGGTTAGAGAGGGCCCAGAGCCTGTTTGCTCAGAGGGGCCATGGACCCATCCTGCAGGGCATCGCGTGGCCTCTGACCCCCAGGACTGGGGAATCCAGCTCGCTGCTCGGTCAAAGGGTTCCAGGCCAGATGTGCGGTAAGTCATTTGGTAGCGTGATTCCCAAGCGTGAGTCTCAGTATCACCCGTTTTGACTGTGCCCAAATGATACCTACTTTGAACCCAGCTCTCTCGGAAGACATGGGTCTCACCTTAGTAGCCAAAACAAGTCCAGTAGACTCTTTTGGTGAACTTTGGCACACGCTGTTGGGCATCGACATAGGCAGACAGAGAAGCATTCTGCCAGTTCCAAGGGCCACTTCGGCACCGTGGGCCCAGTACATCAATGGGATTGATCCCCTCATGGCCCATGCGTGAACTCTCCCTTGGGCCTTCCCCTCCCACCCAGTCCTTCTCCCCGCTGCCCTTCCCACACAGCACGTCCATAACTTGTTATTACAGACGCTTCACTTTTCACTGTGTTGATTATCTTTCTCCTCTACTGAACCCAGTGCCAGGGGTGCTCACCCGCGCTTCCCAGAGCCAAAACTGCACACAGTGAATCAATACCTGTTGAATGAACAACTGCTAATGAATGGATAAACACAAAAGCCAGCCAGTCCTCCGGCCCCAGAATGGGCTGGACCACGGACACAAACAGCCTGCCGAGCACAGCAGTGTGGAGATGGCCTTGTGGGTCTGCAGGAAATTCTGCTTTCAAGGAACTGGGCCAAACACCCACCCGAGGCAGCTCCACTCGGCACCAAGGGGAGGCCACTTGGTCAAACTCAAGCCTTGCCCTGGGCTAAAGAACACCCAGAGCAGATGGCAAGCAGCCCTCCCCATCACCTGCTTCTATCGGTGACTCAATTTTAAGCCAGAAGGAACGAGGCTACTAAGAAACTACTGCTTCTGGCAGGCTGCTGAGCTCCTCACCCAGCGTCCCCCGCATTTGCTTGTATTCCCAGGGGTCTCCTGGCCTGGGCCTGACCCACCTCTGGGAAGACAGGAGGAGACACAGCAGCCTGGGCTGATTCCCATCTCAATAGTTCAAATGAGCAAGTTAACAATCAAGGAGGTGGATACTTGTGAGTACTGATTAGGTTTCAGCAGGGAAATGAATGTGATTGGGGGAGGCCCCACGGTGGAGAGTGCTCAGCTCCCAGCAAGGCTCAAAGGAGGGGGGGGCCTCCACCGAGGTCACCATCTTCTAAAGACCCTCAGCAGGTGGGTGGAGTGCACAGGAAACAGACCAGCCCCTCACAGTCAGCCAGAACCTGAAATAAGAGCCATCTGATGAGTTCCCCTTCCAGAAAAATCTACACTGACACTCCTACAACTCATTTGTTGGCAACTTGCTTCATCAGTGCCCAAGACCCTCCTCCCCAAGGACACTGGCCCCTCCAAATAGACACAAAGCCCGCCAGGGACCCCAAGAGATGAGCAGAAACACCGGAGCTGCTTCTAAAGCCTGGGAAGTACAAAATTCCATGAGTACACTCCTAATTCATGCTAAAACAACACGGGAGACGCTGACTTTTCACAAACACACGTCGACATTAGACGACTCAGCTTTTGTCTGTGGGGAGAATTTAAAATCCACACTTGGACAACAACAGATGTAGGGACCAGAAGTTTTGCAGAATCTGTTAACCGGCATGAAAAACACAAGGAGGTTACACACTGAACATCAAAGACGAACAAGGGTTTTGATCAGTGGGGGGGCCTTGGGTGTCACCCTGAGAACCCAGCCCCCTCACCCTGGCCCCCAGACCTGCACGCATCAGCGATAATGTTGAAGAGACGCGCAGAGTCAACTTGCCTCTTTCCAGAGCTTCCTTGAAGGACTAGGACAGTGGAGTCACCACTGCTGGTCACAGCCGTCCACACCCACCGGGCCCACTCCATGGAGAACCACGTCTGCCAGGAGCCAAAAGCCATCTCTGCTGAAGTGCAGCCTCTGTGCCCCAAACTCCCACCCAGACTACCCTGCTGGTATCTCTGGGATCTAGGTCTCTTTAGCTGTCACGAAAAAGTTTGCTGCATCACCGGGCCACGGTGCTGTGAGCTTCTCTGGTGTCCAGAGTCCCTGAGGCCGCCCCACTGCTCCTCAGCCGCCTTCTGCATCCCCGGGCACTGGTGATGCACGGCTTTGGAGCACAAAGGGCCTCTGCTTTGTCCCAACAGCACAAGCAAGCGACAGGGAGGGCCGGATGCGCTTGGATTCAACTGCTGAATTCCAATGAGGTCTCTGCGGCCGCAGCTGCCCAGCCTGGACACCTGCTCAGAAGAGGCTGCCATTCACCGTCGCCGTGTGTTGGGAGGAAGCGGATGGTGGCGGAGGCACAGCAAGCCCCTCTGTGGTTTCTCCCCTGTTTACTATAAACTATTTCTGGGTCAAAACACCAGGGGCCACCATGGACCGTCTGAACGGCATTCGCTTCCGGCCCTGCCTGCCTGCCTTGTTTTCATATTCCTGCACCCTCTCCCAGGACCAGGGAGCAAGTTAATTAGAGGAGGCGGATGGCAGCTTTTTTAATTAGCTCTTTTTTCCCTATTCAGTTTCCCAGGGGCTCAAAAACATTTCCAAGAGCCGGGATTTCTGCAGTCCACCCACAAAGAGTCTGTACATAAAAATAAAGCAGTATTTCAGAGTCCCCTTGCATAAAAACAGTTCCCATTGGTTGTTTGATCTTTTTTCCGTACTAAAAGAAACTAAAATACAAGAAATTATTCCACTGAGGCTTCACATACTTTCAAAATGAAAGAAAATGAAATTAATTTCATTTGATACATACATGCATCAGCAAGATAACATGCCTCTAACAGTCTGCTAAAATGTCTCTAAATTACAGAAAGTATATTTATCAGGATACACCTATGCTATGTTCACCACATAAGTAAATATGCAAATACAATAAAAGAGGTGTATTTCCATAGTTTACGGAGATTGTTCTTAATGACCAGGCGTTAAATACTGTGACTTTAATTTCCTGCATGGAAAGCAACGCTAGATACCACGTTGTTTTGTTGTCGTTAGTTGCCACTGAGTCAGCTCCTACTCACCGCCACCTCATGTATAACAGCACGGAACACTGCCCAGTTCGGTGCCATCTTCATGATCGCTGGTATAAGCGAGCCCACTGTTGAGGCCACTGTGTATTTTTAGTGCCTTCCAACCTAGGGGGCTCATCTTCCAGTACTATATCGGACAATATTCTGTTGTGATCCATAGGGTTTTCACTGGCTAATTTTTGGAAGCAGAGCACCAGGCCTTTCTCCCTAGTCTTAGTCTGGAAGCTCTCCTGAAACCTGTCTACCATGGGTGACCCTGCTCATATTTGAAATACCAGTGGCAAACCTTCCAGCATCACAGCAACACACAAGCCACCACAGTATGGCAAACTGACAGATGGGTGATGGAGATAACCAAACTACCTCCATGATAATAGCTACCATGTGTTGAACATTTCATTATATGTCAGGCACTGTAGCAGGCCCATTTGTACCTTTATCTATAAGCTTAAAAATTAAAAACAAACAAACAAACAAACAACCCTGCAGATGGAGAGTAGGCTCCATTTTACAGATGAGAAAACTATGGCTTAAAGAGGCAAATCACCCTGCCCAAGGCGACGTAGCTATTACCTGATGGGAACCAGGGCGCACATCTAGTACTGTCTATTACTAAAATCTGCACCCTTTTCAGTACACCAGTGACTCCCAAATGTTTTTAACAACAGAGCTTTTTTCCCAATGAAACCTTACATGGAATTCCTATGCATAGAAAAGATACAAGAAGTATTTCATTTATATTATAAGCTCAATTTATAATATATTCTAATTAGAAAGTCTATCATTCAGAATAATCAAGCTGTTCGAATGAACTTGAAGATCTGCCTTTGGGGTGGGGAATGCCAGCTGCAGTATGATAGCTGTAGACTCCTCTCCCGGCTGTACATTATCAAGAAAAGTCCTGGTGCATATAAATGAGGAGTTGCAAACAGCAACTGTTTTTTCACAGCTTGTCATGTGGTTGTGGGATATTCTTTAATTAGGCAGACAGGGCAAGAGGGCTACATAACTGCACGAAACTGAATGTTATCTATCAGGACAACGAATAAGCTGGTGGTGACTGATACCATACAGTGTGGTATATACAGAAGGACAGATGGAAACTTGTAACCCTGAGTGTCAACAGACTGTGTGAGCCACTGGAATCTGAACCCGCCAAGTTCCCCCAAGTGTGTTCACATAGTTTTAAAATATTTTTACAAATGAAACCCGGAGGATCTTTATGGTGCTCTCGAATCCCACAAAGCAGTTTGAAAACCTCTGCTCTGCATAATGCTGAATTCAGCTCTTCCACAGATGAGCCCTGATGGTGCCGTGGTTAAGAGACTGGCTGCTAACCAAAAGGTCGGCGGTTCAAATCCACCAGCCACTCCTTGGAAGCCTTATGGGGCAGTTCTACTCTGTCCTATCAGCTCACTATGAGTAGGAATTGACTTCATGGCAACAGGTTTGGTTTTTGGCTTTTTTTTTTAATAGATGAAACCCTGTGTCAAACAGAACACTTTACAGAAACTGTCCCCAAAGCCAAGAGTCAGGTAACTGGTAGACCCTAAGGGCCTATTTCCCTATATTTTTGGCTTGGTTTAAATATCTTCATGTTTTACTTCTTTAAACTGTAACAATAAAATAGCATAAGATCAATGTGTATGTGTCTCTGGATATAATGCAATGTACTATAATATAAACACATATATGCATATGTATGTGTGAATTGTGCGTATGTGTATGTATATATAAATAAAACATGGGTATCTTTTAATAAAAAGGTCCTATACATGTAGCTTTCCAGTATATCATTAGATGGCTACATTTTGCTCAAGTTTTACCAGAGAGAATTCAAGGGTTTGGGATAATGATTTACT